AAAAAAAAAACCTGCCAAATTTTTACTTAGGTCAAATCACTTAAGGTGTGATTTCCACTATTCTCCTTTTGAACCAGTTTTGGCACTGCAAGGCAACAGAAACAAAAAATAGTTTTATTTTCTCTGCAATTAATACTGAATTTGAGATTCAGTTTACTTTTGTTTTTAATTTTTTTTTTTGGTGGGACTGCGGTTTGAACTCAGGGCTTTGCACTTACAAAGCAGGAGCTGTACTGTTTGAGCCATACGTCTGATCCATTTTGCCCCGGCTGGTCTTGAACCAAGATCTTCTAGATCTCAGCCTCCCAAGTAGCTAGGATTACAGATGTGAGCCACAGCGCCCAGCTAATTTGTTTATAAAAATGATTTTTAAAAACTATTAAGTTCTAAAACCCAGTGATGAGAAAGCATGTTATTATCAAATTTATAAAAATTTCAAAGACTTCAATTATTTAAATAATAGTAACAGTTGTCCTTCATGTTTCAAATTAAATTGAAGAAACAAACTCAGTACCTCAAATTTAAGTAATTTGCTTAAATAAAAATTAGACTTCAATTTTTATTGCTTACCGCCTTTTCTTTACGTTTTTGTTTAATCATGTTGGAAAGGACTTTTGCTCTAGACTGTCCTTCTCTGTCCAGCAGATAGGCAGGTACTGCTCCCTGAGGAGTCTTCTCATCATTCTTTTGTTTGGTGTTTCTCTTTTCATGCATCTTGATACTAGCAAGAAGGAAACAGACTCAAGATTATCTGTTTAATAACTTTTACCCAACGGGTGTTAACAGAAGAATCAAATTGGATCACTTACGTTTTTTTCATTTGTATTTTCTCAGCATGACGCTGTTTATGGTACAGCTTAGCCTTCAGGCCAATCATTTTTTTTGCCTTCTTTGACCGTTCATGAGCCTCTCGACTTTCTTTCTTTCTCTTTTTCTCATGGTAATCCAAACGATAGCCATAGCGTTTACGGTGTAATTCAATATATTCATTTTGTGGCTATAATGATGCAAGAAACGTTAATTTTTTAAAGTATGAGATTACTCTAAAATTATTTTGTATTTTACGTAAAGTAGGTAAGACCCATACTGTTCAAATGTTCATTTGCCTAAACAACTCTAGAACAGTTAAGTCTGTATACTGATGATGTAAGTTAATTTTATTATTGGGTGATATGAAGCAATAACCTCAATGAAAGCATCTGTAAAAATCCACTGGACCACTAAAAGGATGAGCTGACTACAGGATCACTGACATAAGGTAATCTGTATTTCAAATAACACCATTATCTCATATTAAAGTGTAATTTATACACCACAAAACTTGCCCTTTTAAGGTATAGGTGTACGGGTCTAAGTTTTGGCCAATTACAGTTGTGTAACCACTACAATTAACATTTTCATTACTCCAAAAAGTTCACTTTTCTCACCCTCAATCTGATAAGTATCTCTATAGTTTTACCTTTCTCAGAATGAAATAGTAACGGAATCTACAAACATATAAGCCCTTTGCATCTGGCTTCTTTCACTTAGTGTATGGCTTTTGGGACTTACCAGCCTTCCTGAATATATCAGTACTTCAATCCTTTTTATTGCCGAGTAGTAGTCCATTATATGGACATAACACTTTTTTTCTATCTGCTCATCAGATGATGGATATTTGAATTGTTCGGTTTTTCGTGGTTAGGATTATAGCTGCAATAAACAATTATACGCAGCTCTCTCTCTGGAAATGTTTACTGCCAGACTGTTTTCCAAAGTGGCTCACCAGTAACTTATGAGATCCCTTTTGCATTTGAAACAACAGTTGTTTTGTCTATTTGTATTTTAATACTGTAAAAAATAAAAACGATGCAAAGCCAAGTTTGCTCAGAGAGCAATACTAAGTGTCAACAACGTATTGGGGGGTAGAGGGGTTGAACTGCTATCATATACACTTTGCAGCAACTACAGGAAAGATATGAAGTGTTCCGTTTTGCAGAGAAACACATTAGAGATGCAGAAGAGAAAGGAGCTGGCAGTCAGGTCCGCCGAGCCCGGCCCCGTAATGCATTCGCGGTTAGGCCTTTTTGTCAAGAACCCATCTGTTTCTCAGCAATTCAAAGAGGTGGCGCCATAAATGCCTGCTGTACAGGGTGGGGTGATCGAAAACTTCGGCCGTATTTCCACCGGGCTCTGGCACTGACGATCTCATGTGGGTCTCTCCTAGACCTGGGTTGCAAATATTCCCGCTCTATGTCCCTAAGGTAAAGTTTTTGGCATTTCTCGGAGCCCAGTCCGTCAGGGCAGCATCACATTTCCGTCTACCCCCTCACTCCCCGCCCGGGATCCTGGGCTCCCAGGCCCCACTAACTCGGACGCCCTATGTAGCTAGCGCCCGAGGCAAGGTCCTTACCATGTTGACAGCGCCCGGTCCGGCCTTGCGGGTCTGAAGAAGCTCTCAACCTTTCGATCTCAAGACCCACGAGCGGAAGACGCCCGAAACAGGAAAGGACAACCCTCTAAAACCGCCGGGTGAAGAGCCGGCGCGACGCAGCCGTTCTGAGCTTTTTAACCCCGCGGGGCGGAAGTTGTGGGCCGGCGGTATTTGGTTGGCGCACCGCCGGAAGTGGGCAGGTGTGGCTGCTGGAGGACGCTTGGCAAAGAAGACTTAACATTCCTGCAAGCAGGTATGGGGGTGGCCGCGGAGGTGTAGCTCTGAAACGTAAGACCGTTGTCCTTTGGAGTGGCCAGTGCCTCTTGCACCTTGCAGTCTGGCAGGAGGGATCCCGTCCCTTGTGCACGACCGAGTGCCGCGTGTGTGCCGCTCCGCGTGGCCGTGACCCTGTCAGCGCTGGGCACTGCCGACCTCCAGACTGCGACTGACAGCAGGCCACCGAGGACAACACCGGGTGACCCCCTCAATTGTGCACGTTTTCCTCTGTCCTTCCGCAGGGCGACTGTGTTTTTTTTTTCCCCCTACCACTCTAATGTGTGCGCAATTAAGGATGCAAAGGAATGGATTTATTGGATAGAAGAATAAGAGTAGCACTACTAGGCCAACTGGCAGAAAGGAAGGCATTTTTGGGTTTTTTGTTTTTGTTTTTGTTTTTTTGAGATTCCGGGCAAACTTCAAACGCTCTTGAGGGCTTTTGGTGCACTGGACCAAAAATGCTAGTGGACTTGCAGAGTAGCGGCCCTCTAGCGCCGCAAAGGAAGTAATGCATAAGAAAGGACATCTAATTAAGAACACTATTACCTTTTTACTGCTCAGCCACACAAATTCCCGTATTATCCCACAGTTTGGAACCTGATTCGGTTATGATGGGAGCAAAATGAAATGTACATCTTATCTTAATGAGATCAAGACTGTGCTTGGATTCGAGGCAGTCTTTTGAGGTCGCATTTTCTAATGTGATCCTTAAAACCAGAACTAATACTGACTGGCATGTGTATATATTTTCGGGTACAGTACATCATATAATTTCCCTGAAGTACCCCTCGGCTTACACACACACACACACACACACACACACAGAAACACATCATTATCTCCTTCACCTACTTTAGGTCTTTGCTTAAATGTCACGGTTCTAGTGAGGTCTTCCTTGGCTTCCTTACAGTCAACTGCCCCAGTTCCCTTTTCCTGCTTAATTTTCTCTTGTACGGCTTATCACCGTAGGTGATGCTGTGTATTTTATTTATTCGTTTGTTTGTATCCCTTGAGTAGGCGGGCAGGAATTACTGTTCACCTAGAAGGCAATGGTAGATACAATTCTTATTGAAAACTTGAAATTAATTCTCATACCAAACCTGTGATGTGGTAGATGAACGACTGAAGCTCAGAGATTTTAAGTGATTTATTTGAGATCACAGAAGACTGGGTCCTCTGCCTCTGTTGGTCTTTTTTTAAATGATTTTATTGAAGTGTGACATACACGCAGAAAAATGCAGATCTTGTATGTTTCTGTGGGTTTTCAAAACCTGAACATACCCATGTAATCAGCACCTTAAATTACTTTAACCCATTTCCCAGAAACCCTCTTCTTGCCTCTTTCCAGTCATTACTACTTCCAGGAGTAAATAAATAGCCTGACTTGTAACATAATGGATTAGTTTTACCTGTTTATCCTTGATTTGATTGAAATCAAATGGAATGAGTTCTTTTGTGTTGGTTTCTTTTGCTTAGCATTTGAGATTTATCATTATTGTTTCCTGTTGCAGCTCTTTTAGATTATGGAAATTTTTATTTTTTGGCAGTATTGGGGTTTAAACTCCAGGTCTCCTGCTTCCTAAACAGATGTTCTGTCACTTGAGCCATGCCCCCAATACTTTTTACTTTTGTTCTTTTTTTTTGCTTGGGTGGCCAGGACTGCCATCATCCCATGCCCAGCTTTTTGTTGGTTGAGATGGGGGTCTCATGAACTTTTTGTCTGGGCTGACCTCAAACCCCACAAATACTCCTAATCTCTGCCTCCCAAGTAGCAGGGATTATAGCTGTGAGCTAACGCATCCTGCAGATTATGGATTTTTTTTCTTTTTTTTTTCCGTGGTACTGAGGTTTGAACTCAGGGCTTACACCTTGAGCTACTCCACCAGCCCTTTTTAGTGATGGGTTTTTTTTTTCGAGATAGGGTCTCATGAACTATTTCCTTGGCCTGGCTTCAAATCAAGATCCTCCTGATCTCTGCAGACATGAGCCATCGGCGCCCGGCTATGATTATGGAAAAATTTAATAGGTTGACTAAAGTTGTGAATTTATATCAATATGTTTTTCATTAATAATTTCCAGAACCATTAATTCTCCTTTTTTCCTTTTGAGTCAGAAGAGAAAATAAATTAAGTTTTTAAAGTTCAATAATGATAACACCTTAATTTGTATAAAACAGAAGGCAAAGTGGTTGGCTACATTGTATGTTCTTTTTTCTTATTTTACCCTGGTATTGAGGGATAAAAATGGGTCAAACAGATCAATCCCAGTAAAAACCCTCTTAAATTTTTTGCCTGTCTGGGCTAGTGGAGTGGCTTAAGCGATAGAGTGTCTGCCTAGCAAGCATGAGGTCCGGAGTTCAAATTTTTTTACTGGAAAAAAAGTTATAAAATTTTTTTGCCTCTATATCTGGCAGTGGCCAAGTTGTATATCATCACGATTTTGTTAAATCTACCAGCAGTATCTAGTAGGTACCCCATTTTTGCATTTTGATGAACAGATGCATGACATGATATTCCTCTGATCTGGATGAAACTTTAAGTACATTTGTTTGCATAGATAAGAATGATAAACCAGAAGAAGGTGGGAGCTACTTTATTAGTTGATTGTGTATGGTTAAAGGGTAAATCTTTCTTATGTTAAAGAGAAAGAAGAGTATTATGAATGAAATATTTGACATATGTGAATATGCAGAATATAGACTAACATTTTCTTGAGGTTGAAGATCATGTGTTACCCAACACATTGTTTATATTTCTAATAACCAAGTACTTGTGTTGCTGCAGTAAATGTTAGAAGGACATGAGAAAGGTAAGGTGTTTCATCAGTCTGGTTGACCTAAATTTTAGAGTGTCTTTAGTGAGCATTATTTTTAGCAAATAAGTTAATTTGTTGAATGAAATTAAATGCTACCAATTTCCAAAATATAATAGCCTATTTTAAAACTTGTGAAAATGACTATTTAGACTGATAGTTTAATTATTCAACATAAAGGGAAAAAGCAAAAGTGATACTAAAGATTAATGTTAGTAAATAAAGAACACATTGGCCTAATTCATAATTGATACTTTTCTAAGAAACTTTAGATATGACACAAGTCTGAAATGACTTTTTTTATTTAGGAAAAATTACTATAGTAACAAATACCATATGCAAACAGACTATTTTAACTCAATATTTTAAAATTGCCTTTCCTACAGTACTTGATTCTCAGGAACATCTTTAATTCTGCTTGCATCTGAGGTATTTTATTGATTGCCCTTAAGTGCCCCATGGTTCTTGGTTTTTTGTATGTGTATTAAACTTTATTGGTATATAACTCCACTGGTTTTTTTAATTGTGGATTCTTTTTGTTTATTGGTAATGATACTTGTTAATTAGGTAGAATGAGTATTTACCCAGGGTTTTTTCCCCTCATTACTGCCTTCCTTTACTTTCTTTTCTTTTTTTGAGACAGGGTCTCCTTTTGTAATCCAGGTTGACCTTGAAGTCAGTCTCCTGCTTGAGCCTCTCCAATGTTGAGGTTACCTATGTTTATTCCCACACCTGGCTCTCATTACTGCCTTATAACATCAGGTGTGACACATTTTAGCAGTTATTTATGTATTCCTTAAGGCCTAAGGAAGTCTGGTTCTTACAAAACATGTTGCCCAATAGCACCAATAGAAAATTAGTTTTATTGAAGATCATTGACCTATAGGGAAGAAGGAAATCACTGGAGGACCATAAGTGACTCTAGGTTAAAACTATGTTTGAGTCATTGGCCTTGGCACTGCTGGGTAAAGATCCCGCCTTTTGGTAACTCACAGTAAAGGAAATAACTTGTAAGCATCACATTTGTTATAGGTAAGTAGGAGTTTCAAGTGTTATGAAAATATAGTGCAGGTAGTATTAAAATTTTTAGGTCAGGAAAGGCTTTGGACCCAGCTCTTGAGTTAGAAGGAGAAATTTACTTTGGGGATTCTAGGCTTTCAGACAGTGGCAACGTTACACACAGTGTGAAGTGTCAGCGAATTCCTGTAGGGAAGAGGAAAATAAAAGACTTTGAAGGTAGTTGGAGGCAGATTTGTCCTATTAAGCTTCAAAGATTTTTGAGTAGTGATGTGATAAGATGAGATTGTCTGAAGGAAATGTGCAAAGAGTGCACTAAAACAGTAATATCCCACTCTAGTGATTTGAGCACTATGTGTTAATACTAGTCATATCTGAATGTCACCTATGCTACTATTTATGTAACATTTTTCCTTAAAATAATCCACTGTTTTATGTAGATAAATTTAACTTCATCCTTAGCAACCCTGACTAAGAAGCCAAGGAATCTGTTGGTTACTCTTTTCTTTTAATAAGCAGTGTTTTTCTATAACCTTGTTTTTCTATAACCTAAAATAACCATGAGCACTTCACATGGAGAAACATAGTGTTTGTATATATTTTCAAATTTTTAGTCCAAAGTACCCCTTTATGCTATTAAAAATGATTCAGAATTACAAAGAGCTTTGAGTTATTAATATTCAGATATTAGAAGTTAAAGCAAAGTTTTAAAGTATTTTGTTTAAAATAATAAATACACTAGATATTAATGTAAATCAGTTTTACGAAAAACATGATTTTCTAAAATAATTTTGTTCAAAGCATAATGTTTTATACTTTTGGACATCTTTTTAAATGTCTGGCTTAATAGAAAACAGCTGGCATCTCATACCCACTTGTATATTTAATCTGTGTATTCTATATCTACATTTTTGGAAGTTTATGATATAGACCTCTCTTCGTACACGTGTGGTAGGAAAAAAGAGTTTTTAATCGCCTTTTCAGAAAATGGTGTATCATTTTAGGTACATACTATACCTTTGACATACAGGTTTTGACAAGTTGTAGGTTCATAAAGATTGGTTGCAGCTAGGCACCGGTGGCTCATCCAGTAATCCTGACTACTCAGGAGGCAGCGATCAGGAGGACAGTGGTTCAAAGTCAGCCCAGGCAAATAATTTGCGAGACCATGTCTCGAAAAACCCTTTACAAAAATAGGGCTGGTGGTTCAAGGTGAAGGCCCTGAGTTCAAGCCCCAATACTGAAAAAAAAATTGGTTGCAATATAAAATCAAATGTTATTGAACTTTTTGTAATCTTTCATGTTAAAATCTGTTTTTAGAATGGATCTTTTACCCATTTGTGATTTGGAAACATGCATTAGCTGCTTTGAAAATATCTGTTGTGCAGCTCTTCCAAATTGTGGGGAGCGGATTAAAGCCTATGGGAACTGGACACAAGCAAGGCGAGATGCAGTTAATTGCTTTTACCTGTAGGCAGGGAAAGGCAGAACAGCTGTGTCTCCTAAATTGTGTTCAGAGACACAGGAACTACACATTTCTGCTGTTACAACATCATGCCCCTCCCCTTGGCTCCACCCTGTTTGCTGCTATAAAAGACCCCTGAAGGAGGAAGAGGGGCTTTTTGCTTTCTGTTTTTGCCTTTTGGGGCTTTACTTTGGGCTTTTTGGTGTGGGAAGCTTTCGGAAGAGAAAACAATTGTTGAAGGGAAAGCGCTAAAGAGAAAAGGGAAAAATTGCTGAAGGGAAAATGCTAAAGAGGGGTTGATAGAAAGTCTGCACCGAGAACTTTAACATGGGCTTCAGAAAGCAAAGCTGAGAAAGAATTCATACATAGGCCTTAGGAAAGCTAAAGCCAAAGAGAACTTGGGACAGTGCACAGTGCAAGTCTAAG